CTTTCCCTCTCTCCGTCTGTGTCCGTCATTCGTCGTGGTGACGAAAGCACACGCTACGGCCAACGGCATAGAATCCTCGTATCATCGTAGCTAAGAACCTGGATCGCGTGGCCTCGCTCGCCCTCGATGAGCTAAGGGCGCGTGGCGGTCTCGGTGTGACGCCGCTGCGGGAAAAGCTCTGGTGGTGGTGGTGGTGGTGGTGGTGGCGACGGCGGTGGGGAGACGAAAGCGAAAGCGGCCCCGTTGGCACCGAGCGCGACTCGCTCGTCGCCGTATCAGGGTGAAAAGCGAGGGCGGAGCTCGGCGAAAGCTCGTCGGGACGAAGCTCGTCGACAACCAACTTTGCTTACCAGGGCAGCATGCTAGGGTCCGTCTACCGCACCCCACCCCGAGGCTTGCGCGCGCACACACTGCGAGTCTATTTTCGGAGGACAGATGTGTGCTGGAGGTCGGAGGTGGACGTAGGGATTGCGCTCGAGTCACGTGCCGACCGGAAGCGACGAGTCGTCTACTTGTCAAGGGAGATCTGTTTGTGCTTGTCGGCTTTCTCACTTCCCTGGCCTCAATATCTTTTCCTCCGCAACGATCCACATCGCTTATTCCCATTATGCGCTTCTCTACTTATGAATAGTATTTTACGAGCATTGATAATGGGACAGTCGAGCATTTAAATATCATTAGCTCCAGGTGAATTAAATTTTCAATCTCTCTATCTCTCTATCTCTCTATTCTCTATATATATTTTTCTTCGTTACCAATGCCTTTGGCGCTGCGTAAGCGATCATTTTCAATAGTCGCCTATAAGTAGTTAAGAAATAAACTTTTCTTCACAAGACCAGCGACTTCACAATCGACAATAATATTCCATATCTGGATAGCCACGTGCTTAGAAGTTTCTGTTTTAATGTATTCATTGCCTATTTTAATCATTTATTTCATTTATAATTTATGTACATTATCTTATTACAATTATAATTTGAGTTTCTGTGGAACTTTAATCATCATTCTACTGTCGCAAATCAAGAATTTCATCTTGTATTATTATTTTAAAATATTATAAAACAGTTTATAAAGTAAACATCAGAGCTTATTTAGCAATTTTCATTATGTACAATTATACGATACACTTTCATCGTGTACTATTTTGAAGAAAATTTATTTCTAAATTCCTGTTGTATTAACAGATAACGGGGCGATTTATTACGCCTTGTACTTAAATTCATTATTTTAAGAAATTTATTAATTTTGATGCATCGCATATTGAAGTTGGAATACGATTTGAAATTACAAACTTTGACAAAAATATTTTAAAAATATTTCTTAAAATTATATCGCTAAGTATTTCATTGATTTCGTCTATAACAATTTTTGCTATTCTTATTAACATTTATAGCTTTCAATTGATATGTTATAGTTGTTAGTTCGCGAATTCATAAATAAAAGTTAATTCAGACAAATACGTTTCAGTTACACATTTTCACTAATTTTCATGAAAATGTATTTAAAAATAAAATGAAAAAAAAAAAACAAAAAAATACAAGAAAAGGTTGATTTAATCCGCGATCAATTAGTTGTTCAATTTATGTTGTTTAAACATTTATATTACTATTTCGTTAGCAATATTAAATCAAGCGATCTTTACTTATTGTCTTTCATCTTTTTTATTTATCAAGATAATATTACTGTGACTTTTTAACAATTATATTCTATTCTGGCAATATGTAAATAATAAAATGAATTATAAATTTTTTTCATAAATGTCGTTATTTTATACATACATCGCTTTTTTGTTATAAATTTGAAATATTTCAATAATACCTGACTTAATAATACATATTTTCGTATGGGTGAAAATATTTTTACATTTTTATATGTAAATATTTATATATATATATATATATATATATATATATACATATATATATATATATTCCATTTGTTATAGCAGGTAAAATAATAATTAATCAATGTCGAATTAAATACTTACAATCTCATTTAAATCGTTAAATAAAGGTATATTTACAGATCAAAAATGTTTTATTTTTAAAATCTAAAATTATTATAGAAAATGATTATGAATCAAATAAAATTTTTGAATTATAAAATATATTTATTATTTTGGAAAAACTTTTCTTCGTGATCTCTGTTTTCTTCTAAATCGGTTTGATATTTTATAAGAAAAAAAAAAAAAAAATCACTTCAAACAATCACTCATCACTTTTATTTGTTAATGAAAAATACAATTATTTAGCGTGAAAAGACATGGGCATAACATCGACGATTGTAATTTTATTATTTTTATTATGAAATCATTATTATCAGAAGCTTTAATAATCAGTCAATATTGGTGATTGTTAAACATTTGTCTCGATATTATAATAATCTCAACAGTTTTATCGTTATACATCCTCTATAAACAAAGAAAAAGTGACTGAAGGAAATTTAATAAGATGTGATTGGCAAGGTGTTTAAAAAATAAAAAGTATAGTTTGCTTTACGTATTATCATTAACGTATTATCATTAACGTATTATCATGCTTTAACGAGACAGCTTAGACAGTTTTAAGCTTGGTATTGAGATTTAGATAATAATAACATGGATGAATGATAAATGCTATAAGGTCTAATGAAGCTGGCTTACAATGATCTTAAAATCATCGTTATGCCGAAAAGTTATAATATAAAACAAGCCATTGGGAAATTATGAATAACCGTGACAACCGTCACCCTCATCGATTCCCACTAGTAAAGCGTGAGAAAAGGGACTTTAAAGAGCGAGGAAAAGCACGCAGTCAGTCGATAAGGGAAGAATCGTCGAAAAAGTGTGCTTATATGAATGTGCCTGGTGGCGAATTACTCATCGCCGTCCCCGGGATCGTTACGCCCTTGCAAGTGAAAGCTGTTGTGACGGTCTCGCGGGAGCGAGCGGGACGACCGCGACATCTAATAATCCTAATCTCTATCGCGACTCCCTCTGCATATGCGACTGCGGTGGTATCAGGCGGTCAGGAGACGCGAGCACGTCGCGCCAACATCGCCATCGTGGAGGAAGAGGAAGGTGGAGGCAGCGGTTGATGAGGAGGAGGTGTCGAAGGAAGGGGCGGAGGAGGAGGAGGTGGAGGCGACGAAGAGACTGAAGAGGCAGAGAGTGAGATAGAGAGGGAGAGAGACTGTGCGTGAGTAGTGTGAGCGCGTGAGAGAGTGAGGGGGAGGGGGAATCGGTCGGTCGACCGTAGGGGATCGGAAACCGGTGTTAAGACGAACGGTTACTTATCGTGGCCGCCACCACCGGCAGTTGCGGCGATCGATGCCTCCTCTCCTCTGTGTTTACTTTACGCTCATAAAATCGCTGGAGAGGTGGTGAGGACTCGAATGGAGGATGAAATTAGCGTTGTGGGCATTGTGATTGCAGTTTAAGATTTTGTCGTGATTATAGTTTAAGATAGTTTTATTATTGTTTTTTTTTTCTGGTTTGGATTTTTATATGGAATTTCTTCCGTGTCAAATACTTTCGATGTATTAGCTTTGGTTATGTGGAAAAGTAGATAGAGAAATGTGCAAATAGAGAAAATGTTACCGCAAGCTGAATAATCTTAGCAACCTATAATTATTTTCCCGTACCGTCACATTCAATTCTCTAACTCTTCGAAAATTATGAGAAACTTTTTATGACATTTATATTAAATACGTATTCTCTTAATACTCAATTTTGCTTAACATTTATGCCACCGATCTTCGTTAAAATTTATGTGTAAATTATTTATTCTCATTTTTATATCACTGTTTTGACGAAGTGAATATTGCACTTGCACACATGAATACTCGAATGGCTTTCAAAGTCGTTCAACATCTCGTGAGAAAATACAATATTACGCTTACAATGGACGGATATCCAGGTCAAAGTCGATGACCCGTCAAAGTCTTAATTTAACTCTATCGTGTCTCTTAACACCAAAATCTAATTCCCTCGTTTTTAATCATAAAGTGACAACTGAATATTACGACTCCCTCTTTCTTTTTAAATTTCTCTCTTTTTTTTTTCTAAATTATTTGAAATAATTTCCTGGAAATAATTGGAGAATATTATTAGCTATAAATTTATATTTAGGTCGAATTAATTATAAATTTATTAACTCCTGCCATCTAATTCATCAATATACTCACAATATCGATCGTAAGTACTTTATTTACGGAATTTTCATCTAAATAAATAGATGCATAGATCATCTATTGGTATGGAGTACTTTTTCAAACTTATTTATTTATTTCGAAGCTATTCATTTTTTATCCATTATCATTTGGTCTGTTTGAAATTCGCGCTTAAAAACACCATTTTAATTTTGACATGTGATTGTTACGTTGCCCAACAATCAGTTACCGCAAAATGGAGTATAAATCGTCAGGATATTAATTTTTTACGTTCCCGAGACTCGTTCACACTCCCCGTCATTACGTTATAATTATTGTTCGTTAATTTCTTAATTTAATAGTGCAAGATTTTATAAGTCTTTATGGTCATCGACTACCAGTGGGAGAATCACTTGCTCGTCGTAGCCGACTTATATCATCAATTTTTCTGGTATTTTATCGATTTAAATAACAATGCGCTAATCATAACCTTCATTTATTTTTCTGTATCAGATAAAGTTCCATTGCACAAAACAACAGTTTATAATTAACATGATTTTTATCATTAATATTTTATAATTGTTTTATAGAACATTTAATATGTATTATACATGTTATAAATATATTTCAAAACAATGCTTAATTGATAGATACGGTTACACAGATCCAAGAAAATACGTTCTCACTTGACTATTAATACGATTATCGATAAGATTTGATAAAATATTTATGAATATAAATATCGTACATCCTTGTTTCAGTGGCGCCATTGAGTATGTAATATAAAATGTTACTGGCAGTGCAAAGTTAACCATACTACAGTCTGTATAAAGAACGAATGTCCAACAAATTCATTTGGTATTTTTTTTAGCAATTATTACACTTGGTGTGAGTTTCTTTCCAGTCGATGAATTATATTTTTTCTTAATACTATTGCGTCTTATGACGACTGGTGAATTTTCAGCGCTCGAACTGTCACCAACCGAATCGGCATGTGATTTTACTTTTGATTTTGCAGCTGTAATCGCCGCGGACCCAATCAGTTTATTTAATTTTCTCCTAGAGTCTGTTTTATGTTTAGACAGAATTTTTGGAAGTTTGGCAGTCCCACAGAGTTTTAATGAATCCAATCCATCGGAAGTAACCATAATTGTATTGTTATCCAATGGTTCCAAGCTAGATTTTACCACTTTGTGGCGCTTGGCTCTTGGCTTTTTCTTTTTAGTCTGCCGATTCTCTTCTTCCAGATTATTAACTTCCGAAGGTGCATCAATAATCTTTGTCGATTTTTTGCGCACTTTCTTCTTCTGTTTTTTCAAATCACTTTTACCACTGCCCAATTCGTCGAGTTTTTTTGAACAGGGCCTGAAGATAAAAAAAATTGTTACATCTATTATGCATGTGAATTATAATTTCTTACTTTACTTTCCATAGGACTGGATTTATTTTCATTATAGTGCTTAATTATCAAGAGATTCTTACTCGATCGATACTTCATCGTTTGTCTGATGTTCGTAAGGCATTTTTGGAACACCCCAACTAAGAGGATAATTATTTGTTAAAGAAAGCTTATCCTTTTCATTTTCTAATTTAAGATTTCCCACCCCTGTCCAAACTTGCCGCCTTAATGTTAACAATTTCATCTGGACATGTTGGCTTCTTTGCATTAGCGGAGACAAATTTCTCAGGGTCCTGCAATTACATGAAAATTAAAGTCAATAAATATCGCAATGCCTCATTGATTACTTTAATTGTGTAATTTTAAATAGATAAGAGAAAGTGTCGATGATCCGACCTAGGCATTCTGCGGTGACGTAAACGACGTTTATTTTTTCTAGTTAAATCCTCAGAAATAATTTCCTCGCCAAGCGAAAGACTGCGAGGCCTAACAATTAAAGGGAAACTTAAATCAGACTCTATTTTTTGCTGATTTTCTTTGCCAGAAAATTGTGCATCCTCGTCGGAACTTTTACTTTTCATTTTTGTAGCAGAGCGAACATTAGTTTCATCATCTGAATCACTCAACTCGTATAGATCGCTTCCTGGATCGGTTCTTGGTAAATCCATGGCTTTTCTATTATGCATCTAATTTTTTGGTTTTTGTTTTTGTTTTTTTGTTTGTTTTTTTTTTGTTTTGTTTTGTTTTGTTTTGTTTTGTTTTGTTTGTATAAATATGCAAATAAATATTATGTAATTTAATATTAAGCTATGTGGCACAAAATTATAATTATAATGTTCATTTACTATTATTTAAAAAAAGTCTAGTTCATATTCAAAGTAAAAAGTAATTGAAAATGTAAAAAGCTCTGGGATTCTCTATTTCATGATTTTTTTAAATACTTTAAATTCTTACAATCGCTACGTTAAAATTTTTTCGAAATATTTTCAACATTTTTCTATTACGTGCAATGGAAATCTGTTAATAATAAAAGTAATATAAAAGAACGTAATAAATGTTTACTTACTAGCTTTTTACGCGAAAGAACATTTTTTGATAAATTGCCCTTGGGCTTTTTTGTTTTACGAATTGGATCGATCGTGGCTGGTTTTAATAGTACAGAGGATGTAGGCGGCACGCATAAGTATCGAGGATCTTCGATGTACAATCCCGAACGCTTTAGCATTTCCTCGTCGTATTTCTCGTCATTTTCACTCAAACTGTCCGAAGTGTCTCCTTCGTCACTAGATATTAAAAAAAAAAAAAAAGAAAAAAAAAACACTTGCTATTTGTATGCCCTTAACATTGCAAAATGTATTAAATGATAGTAGTATTATTACAGTTACATACCTTGAGTAATCGGTAAGGTCAATATTAGTTGGTTCATCGGCACTCGATCCCTCTTTCGCCAATCTCGATAAAATCTTGTTGCGTAAATTTTCCTAAAAAAGAAAGCCAAACCGAGACCGAGACATCAGCAATAACCGCTTACGTTTCTCGCTCTAACGTCATATAAGTCTGACATTATCATACTTTAATCGGGTCGTTGTCGGAAAAATCGAGCAACGTCTCGCAGAAGGCTTTGCCGGTTTGCTCGTAATCTTGGGTGGAAAAGTGTGTGCCCGATCTAGAACCCAATTTCGAGCCACCCAACGAAGCTTCCAGCGTGTAGCTATTTTGGATTCCCATCAGCCAAACGACAACTCTCCCAGTTCCTTCTTTACTCTTCTCTATATGAAATTTGCAGCTTTCAAAGGAAAACTGTCAAATCCATTGGATTATTAGGCTTTTAAATTTACTACGTTAATTACGCTTATCGGTTAGGTGATTGAAAGCGAATTGTTAAAATAAATTCGAGGATAATATATAATTAAGATATGCGGCGCTTTTGTGAATATTGTATACGCGTATATTTTGTGATACGTATTTGTGATGCTTCCCACTTTACTTAAATGGCCAACAACTCTTAAAAACGAACTTTTAAAAATAATTAAACAGCATATTTTACGCATTAGTAATTTAAGCCTTGATATTACATTACCAATAAGTGAATATATATATATATATATATATATATATATATTTATAGTATTAAGCTATGCTTTCGTGTTATATAATACAACCATTATATGATAATTTATGCCAATGTGAAATTCAGAGTAAGAAACGCTTTAAACGTATTTTACGATTTACAAAGTGAGGAGGGAAACAGCGAGCGTGTAGTCTCGAGCAACTGGGATAACGATGATCGAGCTGCCAAAGGGTGCCCTATCGATAGAAAAGTTGCCCATTGTACCGCATTAGCGCGATTACATCGAGTACAAGAAAATCGGATATCATAGTAATACTCCGATGTGCTCGCTAAGCAAGGTAATGGAGAGACGCAAGGAGTACGCGCTAAAGGAACCTAAAGGATAAGAGGTCGATGGTGTCACCTTGTCCGCGGCATTCTTGTGGAGCATCAACGGGAAAACCTGCTCGGCGAGGGTCCCTATACATCCACCTCGTTTGTTCTCGCAGCCGTAAATGAAGACGTTGTGCTTGCGCGAGTGTGCGTGGAGATCGCAGTAGAGTGCGATGCCGCACTCCTCCATGAGTCTGCGTATCATGAGCTTGGTATGCCAAACAGCGGGGTAACTTTCCCTGATGACGGTGCGGTATTGCCGGTTGAGATCGACGCCTGAGAGCGAGCACCGGTTGTTGCCGACGATCACGCCATCTGGATTCAGCATCGGCACGAGCTTGAAGATAAAGCGCTCGCGCAACTCCTTACGATGGGACAAATGTTGAATTAGAAAATCGAGGCTTTTATGTTGCTGTTGTAACTGGAATGAGGGGTTAAAGGGAGGGAGGGGGGATTTCGCAACATTTTTAATCTACCTAATAAAAATGAGTATTTTTTTTCTTTATGTAAGTCGACAGCTAATTTACTTAGGAATATATTACCGAGGCTTAAAAATTCGATTCTAAGTATTTTTTAAGACATAAGCCGGGAATACGGTAACCCGAAGCTTAACCGAATAATAAGCTAAAGACTTTTATAGATTTATCGCGAAAATTATTTCTATTGCTGATTGAGCCTTATCCGATTCTCACTTTACTCTTTATATTATAAAAATGATCAAAAGTAAATTATTAATATTAAGCAGAAACATTATTAGTTATTAGCCGACATTATTCTTCTACATCGAAAACTATTATAAAGTTTTATCATAAAAAAGAAAAATTATACATTAAAATTCAAAATGCTTAAAAATTATTTTATTTTTAATAGGAAGTTTATTCGAATTGTTCTTATTAAGTGAAACGTTGAAAATGCGTTTCAATATTTTAAATTATTTATGAAAGTGATTTGTTTGCAAGGAAGATAATTGTTTTTCTTGTGTTTGGCAATTTAAACCAAAAGATGTCATTAATCAAATAATTACTATAAAAGCGAGCATTTTCTTAATATTCATAGAGTATTTATAATTTATATTACTGTGAACTAAGGAAAATTATCAAAATTTTTATCCCATTCCTTAAGCTTTCTATATATTATGATATATATTTACCATGCATAGTTTACTAAAACTACAATAGTATTAGTTAATTAAGAAAAAGTTTGCAAAGTAAATATATTGAAATTATTACATTATTATAAATACAAATGCCCATGGTATTAATCACATTAATTTTTCATTTGTTTGTCTAATTAATTTGCTTGATTTATTTCGTGTTGCCAAATAAAAATCTATTTTGTATAATTTGTTCTCTCATTCTAAACGTTCATATAAACTTTGATACTCAATTTCTCTCTCTCTCTCTCTCTCTCTCTCTCTCTCTCTCTCTCTCTATCTATCTATCTATCTATCTCTGTTACATGCATAATATAATATAATATAATACATTGGTTGGAGTATTTGAATTTTAGGAAAAAACAATAGAACAATTAATGTTGAACGAAGGAATTGTTAAACTAAAATCTTAATTGCGCTAATGGAAAGACATAAAAGCACACTGCGCAAAGCACACCGAAAACAACCTCATTCGTGCTTCATTTTTGCAAAAAATATAAAGGATAGCAATAAATCTTACCTTTGCCTGATTGGACTCGCCAGTTAGAAAGTCGATGATCCCTTTCATAATCCAGCTTGAGGGCGTTTCGCCCGGATGCACGCGGGCCGTGATCACAACACCCTTCTTACGCTGTGTCTCGTCGTTTATCGTAGGTGCAGTTATTGTTAAATAATAAATTGCATTGCCAGCCAGGCTTCGGCATAGCATACGTAATTTTGTGAAACGCGATTTTATGGAGTCGTTAGCAATTTTTATTAGGTACTCCTACAAGTAGAAAAAGCTGTTGAGTGCATTAACGGAAAAAGCAGAACTTTTCCTGTTTTATCCGATTAATATTTATTAAATCATTGCTGATGCGTTACTTCTGTTGCAGCGATAAATTGCATGGATTTATGATTAATAAATATATTATATAAATGATTCAATGTTTGAAATGTTGAATTATTATCAAAGTTTATGATATTGAAAATATATAAAAATAGTAACTACAATGAAAACGTAAGCTTCAATATTAACGCAAGAAATTGTTTATAAATTATATGTTCAATGTATATTGAATAATTATTTCAATTAAAATATGCGTTTACATTGCAAATACAGTCGTGGTAAATAAAGTTATGTTGCTTTATGTAAAACAATTGCTCTATTTTATGAAATTGTGAGACATAAGACATCTATGCAAAATATAGCATAAAACAATTGATATATCATATGACAGCCTTAAATTATATTTGAATAAGTTTTTCAAATTTTACTATATATGTGTATATATATATATATATATATATATTATATATATTATATATATTATATATATATATATATATATATATATATATATATATATTTATCTGCAAATCTGTGTATGTATAAGGATAACAATATGCTAAATAAACAGTATCTTGATCGTGTGGAAAATAAATATTAAATGTTAACGTGTGCTTCTCCTTTCTGTCATCTCTGTTAATGTAATATGTCACTTAAGTTGTAAAACCAATTATCGGTAAAGTATAATTGAAAATAAAATCCTTACGATGAATCATTTTTATAGTATATAATATTTTCGCCGCATCTTCTCCAGCCAATAGATTTTGCAGTTGCATCTTTAGTGGAATAAAGCAAGGGTTTCAATCCCTCGTTATAAAGACTATTTTCCTTCCATAAATTAACAATGGATAATCTGAAGGGAAGAAAGTATGAATTGAATGGTTAAACAATAATGCTAGTTTGCCAATTAAATAAAGCCTCGATAGGGTAATTCAAGCAATGCAATACCTGTACATTGTTCCACTTTTCGTGTTCGATATCCTAAAATAATACCATTGCGTGTGTCTCTGGGTATAGAGGTCGTTGCGCAGATGCAGTTCGTAAAAAGTGTCGGTAATTTTAATAACTTTGCCAAGATTCCCTGATTCAAATCTAGATTCGAAGCAGAGGTCCGTCGCGCTTGACCGCGTCACGCAATCCGCAGTTCTTTCGATCGTATCGGGAATTGACACTGCGCTACCTCCTATGCACGATCTGCTGAACTGCAAATTTTTTTCTCTTACATTCGCGAGTACTTCAACCAATAGTACAAATAATAAGTACTAATGGTAGTACTAATGGTAATACTACTAATAGACTGTGAGAATTATTTATTGATTTATTTAGCGCTCGTTATCCATTTAAACGGCGGGCGCTTTTATTTCAAAATTAAAGTATTGTTGATCCTTGATTGCTTTAATAATAACGCTATTTGACGCGTGTCATTAAATTAATACGTAACAAAAGCTTACATAGCATATGGAAGATCTTAATAATAAGCTATATTATTATAATTAAATGCCTGTATAACTACGTTAAATATAACAATAATAATTCATAATCGTTATTTACATAATTCGTGACACCTGTTGGACAATAATGGAATAGAACTGTCCCGGACTCTTCCCCGATTGGTTTTGGTTTTGGTTCTTTTCCCGTAGGAACGTAAAACGGCTCTGGTTCCACGGGATTGTATTTCAAATGCCGAACCTTGTCCGCCAAGACCTATGCATTTATTTATCGTAATCAATGAATAATTTTACTTCAACTCGTCGTTAAACATTTAACGATAAGTCAAATTCGCCAATAAAAATCATCAATCTCATTAAATAAACGTTATCGTACAATTATATTTTCATAATTGACATACGTAATCCTTACATACGTATCACATACATAAATAACGCATACGGCTTTTATTAAAAGCTGCACTTTACTTGACATTCTGTAGGCCATCGTGATTCTAACGACACCGAGTCTAATCCAATAAAATGGGAGTCGACCAACAGTGTTTGAAAACTTTCCTTCGTCTCGCGGCACCTGACGAAACCCGAGGTCAAGGATAAGACGGAATCTAGGTCCTTCCTCTCGCCTCCAAATCGCGTTTGCAGACATGGGCCAGCTATTGCATTACCTAAAATATCAACTACTATACTGAAAATTTTAGGAGCACTGAGTTACCTTACATATTATCAATTATGTACGACAATTGTCTGAGTATAGTTTTCAAAGTAAAATAACTTTAGCAAACTCTTTCGACTGTTTGCTAAATTTTACGACTTCCCATGAAATTATAATCAAAAAGTTATTTCATATATAATTGCTTATGGAAATGATATATATATATATATATATATATATATAAATAAATTTTTAAATTAAATTAGTTATTAAATCATATAGTAGATTTATTTTTATATACGAACCATTTCACTATCTTTCCAACTCCTTTATCATACAATACGAGAGCATAATACTATTATAAAAATTTTATATACATTTAAGAAAAAATTCTTCATATACGATCCAATGGAGATGGCAATTCATTAGATTTATAACAATCGAATATTATTATATTATATGTGAAGCAAAATTTACGAAAATAATCTACCAAAGTTGAATGTACCTTGTTATCTATGTCTAAAGGGCTTATAGTAGTAATATTATAATAACTCTCTTAACTTCTTAACTTCTTAACTTGGTAATTAACTAAATGGACGTTAACAGTCGTGCCGAATCAAGGGACCAACTTTCAAATTAATTTCACAATAATTATAATACTTTAGTGACAATAATGACTTTCCTATTGTATTTTGTGCAGTTTGAGAAGAATTGAGTTTACCAGGAATCGGCTGTACCGGAAATAAGGCAGCTTGTAGATCCTTCACTTTGTTCACGACGTACTCCATTTCTTAAAGACAGCATACCAGTAAGTTCGGACGGCAATTTCGTTTGTAGCATCGTTGTTCCACATTGTTATTACTACAATCATAATAAACGGCACTTGTAGCGAGTACCGTAAAGTTTAACTTTTTATAAGCACTTGGAATTATTTCTTTTCTATTGTCCTCACTGTCCGAAATTTGAGAACTCGAACCGTAAATATAGTAACTCGCATATGACTTATGTGACCCCAACTATTTATGTTTGTTTTATTGTTTTCTTTTTTGTTTCTTAATATGCTAATTTCAGTCTGAGCACTTTTATTGTTTGATTTTTTAATTTTATTAAACGTCGTGCAAAGCAGATATATTCTATGAACAAAATTAAAATGTAGATTTTTTAAATATACTAACAGATTAGTGGTAGCGTAATTTTTTTAAGATTTCAAAGTTCTTTAAAAGAATTGCAAGTTATCATCTTGCAATTTTCAATATATTTCTCTCCGGAGACTTCGATAAATTTAATTATCACAGAGATTTTAATTTTTAAAAACTACTCACTGTTAGTCATCATTCGTTGTTTTTCTAAAATTTTATTAAAAAAATAAAAAAATAAAGAAAAAAATAAATAAATAAAATAAAAATACTGCTTAAGAATTTTTTAATCAATATCTTATGTTGAATCTTAGACGATTCAAACAATAAGTGAGTAGTAATACGTAAAAATTGTTGATTAATCATACTTAATGTAAATATATTTCATTTGTACTTAAGTGTGCAGTTAAGTAACCGATGCATGCAAATAATTCTCAAATTATTATAAAATTCTCGGTGCATTGATTAAATATGTAATTGTAGAACATTTTGTCTAAATCAATCATGAAAGCAATTAATAGACATAAATTACAATTGACCGCCCAGAAAGATGACATAAATATCATAAAAAATAAGTAGAATATAATTATTTCGCAGGCTCAATTTAAAAATTTTATACGTTAAGAGTCTTGTTTAAAGAAAAGATTTTTTATTTATGAAAATTAAATTTACAATAAGTATATTAATAATTATTACGTAATTACTATAAGATCGTTCTTAAATTATATTAAAATTAAAATAAATCATTAAGAACGAATAGATTTTTTTTTTTTTTTTCTAAATGAAATCTTGAGTCATTAAATTGACATTTTGAAGAAATCAATCAAAAGAGAAATGAAATAATTGCCAAACTCACTAAGCGCACAAGAAAGTGTTTTTGAAAATAATATCAAATAATATGGAGCAATTAATATTTAATTTAATGTCCGTTCGATTAAACAAGACAATATTATGAAATTCACGAGTATAAGGCATTAGGTTATGAAATGTAAGCGTCAAACCCTATGGAGAAGACGTTATTTCAATACATATAAGCATCGTTACGATTGTATTGATAAAAACATTTATGATATAATGCAGGTCACGAGAGCCGATTAGCAAGATCGGATTTATGCGAGTGCACGATATTAATATAATTACGCTTGGAACGAGGCATTCGATGCGCTTATGAAATTCCAATGAAACTTTGACGGAACTCGGCAACTCCCCGAAGTAATAACTTTGAAGAGGATTAGTGGAGAGCTTCGGGAGTCGGGCGACGGCCGTGGCGAGTCATGTGCTCAGCTACGTACAACCTGCGAGGTCCGCGACTCGTGACTGGAAGTCGAAGCTCTGAGTCGTGACGCCCACGGGCTCCTTGACGACGCGGGGGTGGTCGACTCGGATATCGCGTATCGATCGCGCGGTGATCGCCCTCTAAATTATTCGGCGGCGAGGGAGGAGGCGCGAAGCTCGGGAACGACGGGACGATCGGCCGATGCGAACGCGCAATGACCTGAACCGTCTCCTCGGTATCGTCAATTTGCCAGGCCAGAGAGACTCCCGCGATCTCGAAGGGTTAGCTTCGCTAAAGCTTTAACTTAAAAGACGTCTTGTCCAAATCAGGGCTTTCTAAGCTAATCGAGTGGATGGGGGGAGCTTGCATTAGCTGTCTACCAAATGCTTACGAACATGATCGATAATTTGACAGTTCTAAAGCCCCTGAACCCTGATTCTCAATAATGCCAGACCCCCTATATAATGCTGGCATTGGCGAATGACCCAAAAGTTTATTAAATATCTTGATAATGTTTATGCGGCTAGTAATTTATATGATATATATATATATATATATATATATTTTTTTTTTGTGAAACAGCTAAGACAATTTTGTTTAATAATTTACGTTAAGCCATTTATTAATTAGATCAATTTATTTCTTTAGAGGGTAATTTTACGACTCTATTGCTCAACGCTGAAGTAGCGTATTAAATTTGCTAATTGAAATTTTATTTTGACCCATTTTTATAAAAGGTGCAATATATTATATTCTCGATAATTTTCAAATCTATCTTTGATCAAGAATTACCGCCATAATGAAATCCAACATGATGAAAGCACTCATTTTTTATCGCTTTTGATATTTTTATAGCACAAGTTGGATAATTTCTCGAGAGTCAGGTAACCGTGTATCGATCCCCCAACCGTTTGAACCCAAGTAATCAACGAATGGAAAAGCCATAGTTTAATTTTTCACTCGACTGCGAAATAGTTTTTGTTGCGTGCGGTATAATACGTAAATGTATGTATGTTCGGGATTGAGAAAAGTCTCTCAAATATTATCTATTAAGAAAAATCGGCTACCATCATGGGAAATATTGAACGGACATATAATCTAAGAATGTTTTCTCACAGTCGTTGGAGGCACGAAAAGATTAATACATCTGAAAAATACTCGTAAACAGCCACTTCTATTATTCTTCGTGCTACATACGGAATCATTGTTTTTTAATGCAATAAACGACTCTCGCTATTTACCAGCAAAAACGCGGCGAGTCTGTTTACGCGAGAATATTTTGAGAGTTAAAACATTTGAAAACAATCGAGTGAAAAACATTTCCTAAAATTCATTGCAACCTGAACCTTGGCACGTGCGACGTCCAGAAAACTTTGTCTCGCACGTGTGCCATCAATTTCACGAGACATCACGCATACATTGTTGTCAAGTACGCCAAATGTTGCCGCCGCAAGATATTCTCATTGTCCAAGCCTAATTTCTTCGGATGTGGGAAAAGAGGTGCGCACATTCAATCTTATAATGTTTTATAAAACTAGGCGCCGAAAAGCGGCGCGCCCTGATTGGAAAATTAAGATCAGGAGCTCCTTGAGTGGGGACTCATTGTGAGAGGCCTTAAAGTTGCGGACGACACAGCAACAAAGGGCTGTCCGCGTGGAAAAGCCAATTCGAAAGGGTTATCCACGTAGGGAAGCCGGGTCTGAAGGGGGAGCTCTTACTCAACGGTGAACTAGTGACACCAAGTATTTGCGGTGACCCACTGACCAGCAGGAAGATACATCGATCCTCCTGTACTGCTGCAGTCGACGGGCGTTGACGCTATCACCTTCATATTACACGAAAGGGCCGTAGTGCCAAGCACGTACTTCCGCATTTGGAGCGTGAATCATGGTGAACTACTCATCTCCCAGGATCAGATCAAGGCCCATCACCGTGAGTACACGAGTCCGTGCGACCTACTAAATTATTGCCAGTCCTAGCGAAACTGGCATGACGCTATTATTAATAGCATCTCACACTTACTGACAAGGAGTGTGCAATAATCGCTAATCTTTACCAATTAAACATCAACATCACGATCTCAAGGAATATCTTGTGTAGTGAAACATTCGTCACACGAAACGTTCCAAGATCTTAACATAGACTCAAGATCTTTCCAAGACAACAATATGTAATTGTATAATAAATTGTAAAATGAATCATACATTCATCGAAAACTCACTATATTTTCTACAGCCCTTCCACTTAACTCCTTCCCGAGCATCTGCTAGGGCGGGTGGCGAACTAAGCTATTGAAGCATTCGCAATTCGAGCCAAGAAAACTGCATCATTTTCAAACAATGTAATATAAATTTCATTGCGCTGTTAGTCTTTATTCATAAATGTTAACGTTAATATTGAATTCCTTATTAATATCTTATAATTTACGAGTATTTGCGCAGAAAGGGAAATATTAATATGAAATGCAGGGAAAATATATAGTATAGTTTTCAATTATGTAACCTTTTGAAATACGCTAATGCCACAAAGAAGGTCGATTGAGCTTTGAACTGAGAACACAGTGGTAGAGCTTTCGACGGTCGTTAACGTAATATTGATCAATCATTCGAAACGCGCTTGCCAAATATCTTGAGTGCCCATGAGTTTGGGCAGCTTGGAAATTGGTGGCTGAGCACTCGTTAAAATTGCTTCGTTTTCTCGTTTTGCAGGCAAAATTGAAGATTCACTAGGACATAATAAAGGCGAAAATGGTTCGGGCAGCGCAAATCGCTGTTTGTACCCTCAATCAGTGGGCTATGGATTTTGACGGTAATTTCCGGCGAATTTTACAAAGTATACAGATTGCCAAAGATGCTGGTGTTACCTACAGGAGTGGTCCAGAGCTCGAGATAAGGTACTATTTCAAACAATTTTAATATAAAACGCTCTATATTGAATCTCGAGGACTTTTTTTTTTCATCCCGAGACTAAGAGCACTTTGCTCTATTTGGACATGGATTATATCTTGATATTTGCTACTCACAAAGTAATTACAACCTTTTTCGTTCGCTGTTTCCTTTTAACCTAATTTTACCACTGCGTATATAACTGCGTATACGTCTATTTTAATTTATTGAGAAATGTACTACTCCTCAATAGTAGATTACATTGTCATATTGACAATACGATAAATAACTGTAAACGAGCCTATTTGTCGTTAATAGGAAACGCATATGCAATTTATTAAATATATTATAATGCAAAGAAGTACAAATTTTACATTGTTTTATCCTATAGTGGTTACAGTTGCGAAGATCATTTTTACGAATCAGATACGCTTCTTCACTCGTGGCAGGTGTTGGCTAGCTTATTGAAGTCTTCGATTTGTGAGGACATTCTAATTGACGTCGGTATGCCGGTTATGTACAAAAATGTCACCTACAATTGTAGAGTAGCTTTCTTAAATCGAAAAGTATTACTAATTAGGCCGAAAATGCACCTGTGCGAGGATGGCAATTACCGTGAAAGAAGATGGTTCTCACCTTGGACGAAAGTAAATTATTTTGTCAAATACGCTTACAATTATTAATATAATTTCATTATCGGTTGAATGGTATTATTATTATTATTATTATTATTATTATTATTATTATTATTATTATTATTATTATTATTATTATTATTTATTATTATTATTTATTATAATTATTTATTATTGATTTACTTTGTTTAGCATGTGTTGGGAATACACTAGGAACGAATTCTGCTAGGTTTGTTTAAATTAAAATTATCGATTTAAATTAATTATCAACGAAGAACTATATTGATTGCATATTTTGGCCATTAAGGGATACGACTTAATCGATTAAAGCTGTAATTATTAATGATTATTATCTAAAGAGGTTGCTTGGAATAATTTCTATTTACTTAAGTTAAATGTAACTAACTTTCCTCGGTTAAAAATTAAATTGGTTAAAAATTATTAAAAATAAAATTAAAGATAAAAATTATTGGTTAAGAATTATTAAAAATTATTATCATAATCATTAGTTCGTTGGTATTCATGGTATTCATATCTCTGACAGTTAATAAAAATATCATTTTAACTGTTTCTTAAGAATTTTAACTATAAACGTAATTTTCATAGCGATATGATATTTGTAATACTTCCATCATATTTGAAATTAAAAACAATTTTGAGATTAATTTTTCATTACAATTAAATAGGAAAAAACTGTAGAGGATTATTTTCTTCCAAAAGTAATTGCCGAGATAACAAATCAAATCACCGTGCCATTCGGAGATGGTGTTATCGCAACAAAAGATACTTGTATAGGTTTTGAAATTTGTGAAGAATTATGGAATCCGTCGAGTAAACATATTTCTATGTCACTCGATGCGGTCGAAATAATATCAAATGGTGCGTATAGATTAAAATATTTAGTACAATTATTTTGATTTTCAGGAACTTTAAATCTGATAGTTTAATAGTATTATAAATACAATATGTTTGCATATGATATGATTTTAATGAACATTAGAGCTAAAAATTTTAGACAACTTTAGTATGTTAGAACGAAAATTCGTAAAATTTTATGAAAAAACAAATCAAAACAAAAAAACGCGCATGTTAATTTTATGTTAAATTAAGTACCTTTGAATTAATGTCATTAGTAAGACGAAATTCAAAATTTCAATAATATAACATATGAAATAGTCTTGAATTTCCTCGTATCTTGTCTAATTATCTTAATATTTTTAGGCAGTGGATCATATTTTGAGCTTCGTAAAGCAAATGTAACAGTCGATTTAGTGAAATCGGCCTCTTTCAAATCTGGTGGATGCTATATGTTTAGTAATTTGCGAGGCTGTGATGGTGCAAGAGTATACTTCAACGGTGGTTCGAGTATTACATTAAATGGAAAAATTCTGAATCGTGGAAAGCAATTTTCTTTAGAAGAAGTGGAAGTTGTCATAGCAACTATCGATGTCGATGATATTCGGTAATTGCTTTTATCAAAATATGTATAATACTGTGATTACCATTTTTTTTTTTTTTTTTTTTTTTTTTTTTTTTTTTTTTTATTAATGTTTGTTTTATTATTAATGTTTGTTTACTCAAACTCTTTAATCGAATATCTGTGTTAGCAAATATATTTATATTATAAGCTTCAGTTAGGCATATTTTAATGTGAGACAAATTCATGTTTATGGTTATCAGGAGTTACCGGAACAGCATTCGCTCTCGATCTCATTTAGCTGCAAAGTCCGATCCTTATCCAAGAATTCACGTAGACTTTTATTTAACATCAGAACGATTTTATGAACATTCACTGAATAAACTACTTCATTTGACTGACGAAGATACGGACAATTCGCTAATATTGTATCATTCACCCGAAGAAGAAATTTTATTGGCCCCTGCTTGCTGGCTTTGGGACTACCTCCGGTACTTCAAATGGCCGTATAATTTAATTTCTTAATACATTATAAATATTTTACTTAATAATCTCTGATTGTAGGCGATCCTGTCAAGGTGGTTTCTTTTTGCCATTGAGTGGTGGCGTTGATTCGGCTTCCACCGCTTGTATAGTTTATTCAATGTGCTGTATGGTCGTTGAATCTATCGAAGCTGGAGGTATTTATTATTATTATTATTATTATTATTTTTCATTGTAATTATTAGAGCTAATTAAACAAAAAATTATTATTAACTTTTATGCTTGATTGGAATAAATTAAGTTGATTATTACTATGATAAGAAACTTCAATGTTTCTTAACGACTAATGAGCCGAGATGCCGAAATTTGTTCAAATCATTAAAATTAAATTTCTTTCAAGCTAACGATATAATACAAGAGTGGCAGCTTTTATTCTTTCATCTTACTCGTTAATTTAGAATATTTTTTTGCAAAATATTAATATTCCAAATTAATTGCATTGCAATCGCAACCAACTTATTAACTTATGAGGCTATTTTTACTATCGGTTTCATCTAATTAATAACTCAATATATATTTAATTCTGACTTAATAATAGACTTAAAAATATTCAAAAATACGCTGGTTATTTTAATTTAATAAGTCACAATAATCATATTAAGGAATCATCGGTGCATGATCGACTTTAGCATTGAACAATCGTTAATATACAAAGATCTCCATCTAACCAATATAGTTTCATTAATAAAGATATTTTTTTAATTAGAGATTAAAATTTCTGAAATTTCCACATTGATTTATAGACATGCAAGCACTTATAGACATAAGAAAAATAGTCGGACGTCAGGATTATATACCCACAGATCCAAAACAGCTGTGTAATACGATTCTCGTAACTTGTTACATGGCTACTGAAAATTCTTCGGTCGAAACAAAATTAAGAGCATCGAGTCTCGCTAGCGAATTGGGCACTCATCATGAGAGTATTGTCATTGATTCTGCAATATCCGCTATTTTAGCTATATTTTCCCAAATAACGAAATTAAAACCAAATTTCAAGGCTAAGGGGGGCTCACCAAGAGAAAATTTAGCTCTTCAAAATCTTCAAGTAAATAAATATAAATCTTTTAATATTACGGATTCTATTTACTTAAGAAAATTAACAATTGTTTACAGTTTTTAAGAAATCACGTTATTTAATAATTTCCCTTTTAAATACCAGTCATTCGTTTCTAATAAGTATAAATAATAAGCTAATGTATATATATATATATATATATATATATATATATATTAGAGTTGCATTGAGAAAAATTTGTTTCTCTGTATTATCTCACGACATTTCCAAAGAACCACATTGTATAATTATAATTTTTTAAATTTTAAACAATGTTCGATAGGCGAGAACTCGAATGGTTATCTCCTATTTGTTTGCACAATTAATGCTGTGGGCCCAAGGTAGACCGGGCGGTCTTCTCGTTCTTGGGAGCAGTAACGTCGACGAAGCACTCCGCGGATATTTTACGAAGTACGATTGTAGCAGTGCCGATTTAAATCCAATTGGCGGAATTGCTAAAAATGATTTAAGACGATTTCTTAAATATTTTCGGTTAGTTACAAGTCATGATTTTTACAAAAACCAACAAAAATAAATAAATAAATAAATAAATAAAAACAAACAAAAAACATAGCTTCTACTTCATATGAAATGAGAATGAAATATTTCTTGTTCATAGGGTGAAATACAACATTTCCTCTATCGATGATATTTTGAAAGCACCACCGACTGCCGAACTGGAACCACTTGACAACCAACAATTACACCAACTCGATGAAACCGATATGGGGATGACTTACAACGAATTAGGAATTTTTGGTCGCATCAGGAAACAGTATTACGCTGGACCATATTCCATGTTTTGTAAACTCGTCCACGTGTGGCATCACATTCATCCCAGAGAAGTACTTAATTTTCACATTATTCTATTCTATTATTATATGCATATATATATACGTAATTTTTTTCTATTATTAGATTGAAATTTTTTTTAGGTTGCCAATAAGGTCAAGCATTTTTATCGTTGCTACGCAATTAATCGTCATAAAATGACGATTTTAACACCGTCATGTCATGCGGAAACATATAGTCCAGATGATAATAGATTCGACCATCGACAATTTCTCTATAATCACACGTGGAAATGGCAATTTCAAGCAATTGATAAAAAGGTATTTCAAATTACTCTTGCTTTCAACATTTTTTACTCGCCACTTCTTAATTTCATCATTTTTTTTATTTTTTTTAGCGTTATTTTATATTGGATTTTTATCAATTTCCTTTATTTCATATCTTAGGATTTAATATTGGCTTTAAAAATGAATGGATCACTGTAAAAAATATATTAAAAAGAAAAAGATTCAGTATATATTAACGAAAAGACGTATTTATAATTTTTTAAATTATTAGCATAAAATAATATCTACCCACTTTCATAAATCCTTATTCATCTCCTTTTCAATTCAAAGCAATAAATAAGCACTTAAATTCATATAATCATTCATTGATTTTATACTCAAATTAATCGACTATTTACGTTGAGAATTACAAACTTGTGGACTATTTTAGTATATAATTATATCGTATATTTCCTCATTCGATTATAATTTTTGCATCTAATGTATAAAGTGAAATCGCGTGAAAAATATAATAGAAAGAATGATTAATGGTGTTAAAGATTGTCAAATAATTGGTTTCAAATGCTTACGTAATTTGTCGTGAATAAATTAAAGAAAAAATTTCTAACAAAATCGACGAACCAATTGAGTTAAAAAAATAGAAAATTATTTACATTTCGACTTAATAACAATGTAATTACCTACATTTAATATAGGTCATATTATATTTACAATTATTATTTCAGGAGCTGCAATTGTCAAAGGAGAAATTCACACCAAAAATTAAAAACGCCTCTGAGAGATTGTCTTCAACAACTAGATTTCTGCCAGTCAGCCCTGTTGATACGACCGAGTTGAAACATATATAAATTTTCTGACAGGCTTGGTTATGTGTGTGGGTGCGTAAGTGCGTGTGTGCTGTCGACGGAATGATCAGTTTGGAATGTATGTGATAATATATACGTATATTAGTAAAATACTGAAAAATCTCATTTACAATTGGTTTTGAGATCAAACAGGCCGAGGAACTGTTATAGTTTAACTGTTATATAATACTTTGCTGCAATGTTCCTCTTGCTCTACGCTCTTTAGTTTATAAATGTTTATATAACTTAATACTGTTAAATCCGATGTAATTAAATTGAAACGTTCTTTTTATTTATTAGCTTTAATAATAAATCTTTAATTTTGTTCGCGATTCCGAGAATCGCTCGAATATTATCGATTCTGGGAAAACCTCTAACGGTCGTTGGACATCCGGAAAAGCCGTTACATCCAAAAAAAACATGTGCATAATCGCATCGAGTCTTTAGCACCACAATCGCCTCCATTGTTGTCAGCTAACTGAGTTGCCCCATGGATATTTAAGGCAAGCGCACCACGAGATTAGTGCTACTCAGCCATGTGTTAGTCACTCAGGAACTACTACTCTGTCTCTCTCTCTCTCTCTCTCTCAATCACACTCTCTCGCTGAAGATATTGCACAAAGAACACACGTCAATTATTCAGTGCGCAACAGTCAAGTGTGCTGACTGCATTAAATGAAAATATACGACTGCAAGAGACATGGTATCGAAGTACTCCTTATCACGATGATATACCAGTAGTCTTTATTGGTGGTAACTATTACATAAATAGGCCATACTCCTTTCCAAGGAGTGTGCATAATCCATTGCTGATCCTTACAAAATCAGAAAAAATATCGTCATCATCAACAAGGAGCAACTACATCGTTGTGATAGAACATAGTTCACATTCTCCCATGAGAAGTGAGTTTAATTCAATAATAATGTCATTGTCAACAAACCATAATAAACGATATTTAACCAGGTCAGCACACACTGTATATCTCTGCAGCCCTTCCACTTAAGTACTTACCCAAGCATCGGCTAGGGCAGGCGGCAAATTAAATTGAACTATCGAACATTGGCAGTTCGAACCAGAAAATCAAATGGTTACCAATAAACTTCTATTATTTTCACTAAATAGTATTTTTGAAAAATAATACAATTCCTTATCAAAAATTCTCGATTACGAATCATAAAATATATAAAATTAATATTTATAATTTATATTTATTTTTAAAATAAAAGATAAGATTTAAATTTTACATAAAATAATAAATCTTATACAAAAATTAATGTTTTTCGTGGTAAGAACAAAAAAAAAAAAATATATATATATATATATATATATACACATATCTTACGTTGTATATTGTAATTTTTACTAATTGTTGAAAGTTAATGGATATACAGTCATTTTGTGTCTCATCCAATTACTTACGAAACTTTGAAGGAAAATTTCATTAAAAATAATGTATTATAAAAACATTGTTTGGATTTTCATTGTACATGTAATGATGAAGCTACACATAAAAAGAAAAAAGAAAAAAAAAGAATTGTTAATAATACTGTTTTTATATTTCAATGGTAATTGTAAATCTATTAAGTTAACATTTAAATTGTAGCTTTTGCTATAAAAAAGATAATTACATGTATAATTAATCATAATGAACAAACATTGTATTTCTTGAAAACATTTTTTAATAATTTATATTTTCATGTTTTAATTTATGTTTTATTTTGAAATGAACTAATTCTTTGGTCTAATATTAAAAATACTAAATATTAAATAATTTCATCAGTTTAATATCTAATAACAAATGACAAAATAAAAAATATTTAAAAACTGCCTTGCAACTTAGTAGAATTTAAAATTTTAAAATAATTTAATAAAAGAATATATTAACTTAATATATTTAACAATATAAATCATTATAATAAGGGGTTACAATAAAAGTCATCGACCATTTTATTCTTATTAATATTTAATAAATAAAATGTACTTCACGTATAGAACATAGATTAATAGGAAATAAATTTTTTTTTATACAAATGGAAATTCCGAATGGTTTTGTAAGTGTAGTTTCGTACTTTTT